TGCTAATAAAATTTTTTTGAAGGTAAAAGAATCTATTTTTGCTTTGGGTCTTGATTTTAACATTTTAAAAGCGTAAATACTGACGGTGGACGTAGCATGTGTGGAGCACATACAGGTTTGGTTGGAAATGTTAGTATAGCAGCTATACTATAGCTGTATTGGAGACTGGTACAGCAGACTCCACCGACTCCGCACAGAGGGTGTTGTGGGGGAGCCTTCTCCGGCGCTTCAGGTGTGAGTAGCTTGAACAGTACGCCCTGGCAGGGCGTACAACTACTCACACTGTCAAGGTAGGGAAAGGGGTATGGAGTGAATTTACTTTACGTTACACTCAATTGAAAAGCAAAATAAAAGTATGGAATCGAACTATGGGCGAGACGAGTATATCGTCTTCTGAAATCCGACCTGTATATCTGTGGTTCAACACCAGTTATCGTGGGTCGATGTGCCGGGTTACGCCGACTACATTTCACTGTTTTTCTATGTGATGCTTATTGCTTCTTTGGTGGGCGGCTGGGTTGAATCGAAGCAGTATTTAATGCTTTAGTAGTTTCTTGTATTGATGATACAAACTTGTGCTTTTCCGTGTAAGAAAATGTATCAAGTTGTCTGGTCTCGTACGTTGCCGCGCGCTCTGTGCGGCGTTCGTGCGTTTCATTGTTCGGCGTCATTTTTTGTGTTTGTTCAATGAAAATGTTGTTGTGCTGGTTGGAAAATGTATTGAACAGTGTCGTACTGTCGTACCGTAAGATATCAAGTGTCGCAACACTTTACGAGATCAGTACCTATCCGAAGTATTGACAAGTAAAACGTTGGAAGGTTATAACTTGGTCGGAGCGGTACCTATTCACTTCACGCTTGTCGCGTCCGGTAGATGGCCCAGGCAGTTTGGTTGGAAAAATTATTCCTAATAATTCTGTCTCGTTACAAAGTAACTTACTCATATCATCATATTATTTATTATATTTTTTACAGTATTTTGAATAGTAATAACCAAATTTATTAATATCATGATAAGGCGAATGCCGAATAATAATAACATCATAGACCACCAAGGTTCGCATAACAAATTATCACTATCTTAATTCATAATAATATAAGTATTTTTGAAGGAATGCGGACAATCAAAATAAACACTGAGGTGGCCCTTTAAAAATAATTTATACAACAAAATCTTTAACTGTGCTAGGTTATTTCTTTGAATTTATATAAGTCTGGTTGATATCTCTTTAATCAATACTCTTTTGTTAGGCAAATTTTTCTCTTTGTAATATTTTCAGTAATATTACTAAGTATCTGAGTTATAAAATTTAACCTATTTTTGTGAACACATGATTTTATTTATTTATGTTTTATTGTAAACGTATTGTAACAATAATTAAAATATAAAATGAATATTATTATAGACGTGTCCACATAATATAGCATATTCATTTTCTAAGAGTCCCGGATCTTAAAATTGTTCACTTCGAGCACCGTGATACCTCCATTATCTTTAGCCAGTATAATACGTAATATACTTGTACAAAAGAGGAAGTGCAATCATGCTTCGTCACAAAATCATATTCATTTTCGTTCAAAAATATATAAGCTGATTAATATACCAACAATTAATAAAATTCGATCGGGCCCACAATCATAACACTGATTTAAAATGTATCATTCACACCTTCAGATGGTGAAAATATTGTACAGTCTTCTGGAAATATTAGGGAAGTTGAATTGGTTAGGTCAGGTTATCTATTAGTTATTACTGACCTTCGTTATATTGATAGACTGTATAATATGGTCTAATGAAAACAGTCAAGGTGTTATACATAATTCTGGGTTCTATGACACACGGAACTGTGAAATCATTGTTTAATGTTAGGATACAGAGTGATAATACCTATTACCTAGTAAATCATGTAAACGTAGTTTAGACAAGCTAACACAGTAGGCACTTAGGTACATTTAACATGAGAGCAGTTGAGAGATCGTATGTTAGGTGGCCCAAGATTGTAGTACATATAGAAAATGTAGTTAATTCGTGTGATTATTGTATACATTTGAAAACCCAACCATGGCTAGCTATGACGGAAATAAGTACGATATGTAAATAAAAATGTGTAAATTATATGTATAATTTAAATTAAATAAATATATTCATATACCCATAACCAGGGCTCGTAAGTTCATGCATCTGCATGTTTTTTTTGCCACACAGGAAAACATGCTAACTGAGATACAAATCCGTTTCATAACAATAGTAGGTAATAATAATATGAAGTTTGATAGTGCATGTTTTTGCATGTTTTGGGTGTAAAGTCATATTTGGCATATAGTTGATTTTTTACAGTCGTTAGTGCATATTATTTCATAAAAATATTTTTAGACAAATATTTGAAAAGTTTCTTCCGATTTTTGATATCTTGTTCCAATCGTCCAATATCGCATGGTAAATTATAACGGTTTTTTTTAATTTTTTATTGAGTAATTATTTAGGTAATTAATAAAAATATCGAAAATCAGGCTTCTTACGATTGTAAAAAAAGTTCTACTTTACAATTTTTATAATAGGTATTTTTACTGTAAACCACTTCAATAAGCCGTATTACTTGAATTACGAAACCATGGTTTTATGCCTTATTTTGTCTACTAATTGTCTATTTGCGCCCTCTTGTTGGAAAACATAAAAAAAAAATACTTATAAAATATATATTACTAAATTATCTCTAAATGAAAAACCTAATATTTCATTCCAAATGTTTTCATTGTTGGTGCTGAATAAGAGTGTAAACAAATTAGACAAAATTGACTACCTAATTAAAATTTATAAAGATGACAAAGCTATTTGAACTTCACAAGTATTAATTTTATTTTTTATTTTATTAATTTTGACTGTTAAATATATAAAAATTAAAAGGAATGAAATACTTTTAAAATGTATGGATTTATTCTTATTATTTTAAAATTTGGTCATGTTTTTTTTTACATAATGCATATTTTGAGTGTATAATTTAAAAATGTTAATGCATATAAATGCATATTTTTGAACTTTTAAGTGCATATTTTAATGCATATTTTGACAATTTTATGTGCATGAATGCATGCTTATTTATGCATTTTTTAGTGCATGAAGTTACGAGCCCTGCCCATAACAATCTTAACTGGTTTTTATTTAATTTTTATATTTTTTTATGATTTTTAATTTCTAGCACTGTGTATAGGTACGAGGTACCTCCATTATCTTTAGCCAGTATAACGTATGCTTGTGAAAAATAATAGGTTCAATCACACTCCGTCACAAAATCTTATTTTTCTTCGTTCTAAAATATATAAACTTCTTAATATACAAATATTAATGAAATTCGAATTTGCCCACTATCATATCCCTGAGTTAAAATGTATCATTCATACCTTCAGATTTTGAAAAAAATGTACAGTCTTCTGGAAATATTAGGGAAATTGAATTGATTATTCTAGGTTGGGTTAGGTTATCTATTATTGACCATCGGGATATTGATAGACTAAATAATATGGTATAGAACGGTCAAGATGTTATACATAATTCTGCGTTCTATGACACACAGATCTGTGAAATCATGAATGGGGGGGCTATGAACAGGATAATATGATAGCGCCATCTACCGTTCCGGCGCACGTCCTGAGTTCGGAGATCGCTAAACAGAGAAGAAGTGATCGCCGCTCTCTCTTGTATCGGTGATGGACCGAATGTCATATATATATACGAGCAAAGGTTATCCTACTTACAGAGGATGTCTTATCTTCAAACGCATGAATATGTCGTCTGATGTAAAGGATACCCTCTATTTTTGGAAAAATTTTAAAATTTAACGAAATGTTCAAATGATTGTGATATTTTTTACTCTTTGTTTTTTTAAGGTTCCGTACGGTAAAACGGGACCCTATTACTAAGGCTCCGCTGTCCGCCCGCCCGTCCGTCTCTCACAAGGTTGTATCTCATAAACCATGATAAATTAGAAAGTTGAAATTTTCACAGATTATGTATTTCTGTTGCCGCTATAACAACAAATATTAAAAATCCTAGAGTATATAATATAAGTAGTGTTGTCAACATGTTTATAGCTGATGATGGTGCGGAATCCTTCGTACGCGAGTCCGACTCGCACTTGGCCGGTTTTTCTATTATTTTTAATAATTCTTTACAATTCTCCGTTACAATGGTCTTTCATAAAAAGTTCAATATTCCTGGTTATCTTATTTAATTTTTTTACGTTCGTTTAACTTTTTGTTGGATTTTAACATGTGCAAATTAAAGCATACTGACTCCATCGTATTTTCTTTAAGTTTATAAATATGTACTTCGGTACCTTAACATTTTTTTTAATTCTTCGATAAATCTAAAATAACATAATTGTATTAAATTTACGAATTTAATTAATATACAATTTTATAATTTAATTTTCCTATGTACTTCGAGTATAAATTGTCCTTGGTTTCTAAATTAGTTAACTTTAAATTGAATTCGTTATTATTCCTATTACTATAAGCTGTTATATTTAAGTACTCTAGTATATCTTAACCTCTTAACCTTAAATGTTTTATAATAATTGTTAGATCCGTTGACCCGTTCCCAAATACTATTATTGCCTCCCTGTTATCGATGTGCAAATATCTTTGTAGGTATACCGTTGACAAAGTCGACTCCCCCTGATGGCTGACACTTTTGTATAATTGTTCCAAAAATGGTGAAAGTTTCGCTTATTCCGGAATACCCTTATCGTCTTGCGTAGGTACAAAACGATTCCCCTCCAGTTTCATTTACTTATATTTCTCTAAACTATTGGAGATGGCACCGGATACCAATAGTATTTCGGTTCTATTGATCATAGTGAATTTAAAATCCACTATGAAAAAACGGATCTGAGAGCTGGAATATAAAATACATTATTTATACATATTATTATTACTATAATTACATATTGTTATAATGTTATTATATATTTTTTTTTCCTGTGTTTTTTTTTCTATTATTATTATTCTTCAAACAAACGATCTGTTGATAGAATTCTCCTTGCAATCAGTTGTTCCAAAAGCAAGCCCACCTCTACACAAATTGATCTATCTGCGCTCGGATTGTCAATTACTGCATGTACAAATGCAGTTACTTTTACCGTAGCTCGGTCTAATACATCTAGTGGAAGTGGCATTGTCATTATATTATTTGCCTCCAAGACATGCAGTCTGAAACATAATAATATAACTCTATCTCCATAAACAAATTGCTTATGCCTCTCGGTTAGTAATTCGTTTTTCAACTCTCGGAAAAAATCAAGTGCTCGTAGTATGAGAGGAATCTCTACCGACAGTGGGATGTTGTCACCCATATTTTTTTATTTTTTATGTATTTGTTATTTTTACATGTATTTTTTTGTTTCGTCCTTCTTATACTCTGAAAATGGTTAAAATTTTACTTATTACGATTATTACATAGTTATTACTACATATCTTAAAGTGTATTAATATTATTTATGGAATATTATATTATGGATTATTGTTGTTATGTATGTATTTATATGTCATATTATTATTTTATTTATTTTTTATTTATTTTCCATTTATTATATTTATTATGCTTATTTATTTTATCTTAACTAATTAAATCATAAATATTTATTTAGTTTAATTTTTTTATATTCTTAACAAGGATCTATTTATCAAAAGACGTAGGTGGGAAAAAATTCGTATCAATTAGTTGATCTAATATCAATCCTATAGTTAAACAAATTGATCGATTTGGTTGTGTATTGTTACAAATCGGATGGAGATATGCAGTCAAAGGACTCATCGCTAGGTTTAAAGCTTCTTCTGATGTTGGTATGGGCATTCTATGAAAAGTAGCGTGGACTCTATTAAACTCGAAAAAATCAGCCAAGCTAAAAATGGAAATACCAGTTATCGAGCAATACTACCGCTATTTCTTCGAATCAACTAACAATCCAATACGCGATGCATACGAACCTAGCAAAGACACTGACAAGGCATTTGTACTAACAGAAGACGAATTATAAATAAAATTAAATGGTTCTTTTGGCTAGTATAAAATATGTAATACTAAAAAAAAATACAGTTCATTTATATTATATTTTAGATACGTTTTTAAAAGTAAGAGGTAATTTAAATTAGAAGCAGGCACAGATTTTGAGGAAATGAATAAGTCTAGCAGAAAAATAAGGGCCTCAGCTAAAATTTATTCTATTTTATTAAGATAAAAATAATAATAAAATAAAATTTGATAAATAGTTTTAAGCGGGGACATACATAATATAAGTACGCGTTATGGATATATGATAATAGTGATGCAAACAAAAACTATATAAATTATGTTTCAGAAAATAAACAAGAAGAATCGTCAAAATAAAATATACGTACCTATAACAAAAAAAAAATATTTCAACTTGTAAACATGGGCGAAAACACACCAGTATCCTTGGAATACACATAAACTTTGCAAGCGATTGATTTTCTTAAATAGTTAAAAGAGGTGAAAATGCTCAATTAGTATGAGAAACATGGTTTACGTGAGTTGTTTTAGACAACACGTACTAGAAGCAACTAAGCAAGAGAGAAACAACTTTATTTAAAGGGTTTACTTTATGTCTACCGGGTTGCCTATATGACACAGTGTAAAAATCAAACATAATTGTTACAATGGAATGGATAAAAATAGTATACAAATGAGATTAATAAATTTAAAAAGAAAGTAAAACATACAATAAAATATGGAGTGCAATAGAATATAAATTGGAAATCATTGCGCTTTGAACGAGGCTAATAAGATTATTAGTAAAATAAAGGTTTTACAATATTGATATATATAATATTTAGTGTATAAAATTAAGGGTGTCCCTCATGACGGCTAAGCACATTTCTTTTAGTTCTCTTAAATCTAATGCCTTGTTTTTAAAGAAGTCTCTATCAGATATTACGAATACTAATTAAGAAATGTAGATTAAATTTTTCTAAACTGAGTTAAGTTAATATTTTTCCCATATTAACTTTTAATTTATGGAGTTAAATTTATAATTTGTTAACTATTAACTTTTAACTTATCGATCTTGTGTCCTCTTAACTTGAGTCAAATATTTTCATTCAACCTTTACTTACAAAATATATATATAATTAACTACATATAGGAATAGGAAGACTTGATGTTCAAATACTAAACCGACCACATAGGTATCTTCTGATTTCATTTCTTTGTACAATCTAGAATCCAAGCGTCAATTAGTTTTACCACAGTTTTTTCACAAAGAGACTCATAAAATTGTATGTACCTACCATCCTACTCAACGCACAAATAGGGAGAAGGGAGTTTTGGGTCAAGCTATCACCATCAATTTGAACAGTTCTCCGCAATATATTCTACATTTTTTTTTAAGCTTATTCATTATTATAATGGTAGGAATTTTTAGGCTTCAACCTCTTCAAATCTCAAACCCTATTTGCGCCAGTAACAAAATTTATTTTAATAAATATTTTTAAATGTTATCCAAATATGATTATTATAATATAATATAATATAATATAATATAATATATAATATAATATAATTATTCAGATAATTTTAAGTGCACTAAAATAGAAAAAATATGAAATATTCACAAATATGCTAAGAATTTCTCAAATACACTTTTCCTAATATATATATATATTGATAATAGATAATAGGGGAAATGGACAGTGAGAGTAGGTTTAAATATAATCATAATATAATTTTTTACAAGTACCTACTATATTTTATTTGTTATTTAATATTAAATTATTTTAACATTATAACTTAAACTATGTATTTTTTAATTACATTTTAACTACATTCTCTAATTTAGGAAATGAGCAAGATTATTATACCCCAGAAGACAGGGATTCCTAATATGATTGTGATGCTGGAATATGGGGCTATACAACGAAAACTAGATATGGATAACGTTCCTTTTGTGTGAATTCCACCTGTTCTTCCTTCATTGGAAAATCAACATCAGTTGTGTATAATATGTAGGTACTGTGTAAGAAATAACACACGCCTTAATACAATGTGGCCAGAAAATAATATGTCAGGATTGTCTAAATCATTTGGAACCTAAGCGTTCTCTCCTTTGCAATGACTATTTCATTGGCTCTTTGCGGATTTTTTGAACAGGTTTTATCATGAAAATCCTTTTTTCTTTCCAATTTTTTTTATTTTATAAAAAGATATTTTTTCATTTTCATTTTAGATTCTGAGTGGAACGATGAATGTATTGACTTGACAATGATGTGTGTTTATTATTTTTATTTTTTATTTTACTTTTATTTTTTTTTTGTATCTGTCATCACCTTTTAGGACAGTAAAAGTGCTTAGATTTTCTTTAACAGTATTTTTTCTGAAAGGAAAGTGAATCTAGTTGGTACTTTGGGGGTCAAAAGTAAAATCTTTCCAGTAGTTTTCAAAAGCACCGTGAAAAACTAAAGAAAAATTAAGGGAAAACAAGAACTACTAAAAAAATCGATTTTGGTTTTTGGTGCAACTCTTTTTTAGTAAATAAAATTTGTTGGGTACAAAAGCTTGAATATTTAATAGAAGGATTTTAATATATTGTTTCAAAGACAGATGAAAAATATTAAAAATCTAATCACAATTTTTTTTTATAAGCATTTCAAGTTGAAATATTGACAAAATACGTTAAAATGACAAAAATTTGCAAATTATTTTGAGTTAGAAATTCATAAAAAATCTTCTTTTTAAATCAAAGATTTGATAATGTAATACAAGATTCCTCATAAGTTTGTCTACTTTCATCAAAAAAGAAAATGTCTACAAGATACTAAAATTAAATTTTTACGAGTGTTTGATATTCATATTTTTACAACATTTGATATTCACTCGATTTCTTATGTAACGATTTTCTTATTTTATTGTAATTAAAAAACGAGTGACTGTAAATACTTGAAAATTTCACTCAATGCTTATGCTAGCATTTTCTATACACTATACAATTTTTAAAATAACTTGACTCTTTTTGAGTTGTTTACGAACATTGTCAGTTTTCAATTTTTTTGTAATTTTCTATAAATATCAATACAATTTTATTTGTTGGATAAAGAAGAGTGAACATTTCATACAAGGCTCCTGATATATTGTCACAATAGCAGTTGAAAAATATTGAATATACATATGCACAATTTTTTTTATAAGCATTTTAAGTTCAAATTTTGACAAAATTTATTGCATTTAAAATTTAATAATAATTTTGTTGTCAAAAATTTATGAAATGTTCAACTTTTATAAATAAAGATTGAAAATGTATAACAAGATTCCACGTAAATAGGTTATAATATATAAATTACTTTATTCACCTTAATATCATCAAATATACTTATAGTAATATCCAGGGGCGTATTGAGATATTTTTTTTTTGGGTGGTGGGGCTGTGGTATTTTCTCCAACTGAAATTCCCTGATTCAGCTTATTAAAAATAAGAGTTAGAAAATTAGTACACAATTTTAATTTTTGTCATGATTTTTAATGTTTTCAAAAAATTAATAATGAAATAATATATAATAATAATAATACGATATTAATATAACAAATCAAATCAAATTTAAATTTCTTTCTTAGCAAATTTATCTAATAAAATGTCATCTGGTATGCCGATGTCTCTATGAATAGCTAAAAGGGCAAGTCCCACTAGTCTGGATTCTGAAGTTGTATTTCTTAAATACGTTTTGAGTCTTCTCAACGTCGAAAAGCTACGCTCAGCTGTAGCGGTGGATACTGGTATTATAGCTAGTATTTTTAGTAATTCATACATGTTTGGATACATTAAATTATCACAGGCACTCAAAGCCTCTATAGCAGTTGTGGGCCTTAAGCTGTCTTCAATATTCTTCCACATAGTTTGCCAAATTTCGTAATCTACTTCTATAACGTCATTTAGCCCCGGTAAATCATTTTCATAAAATTTAACAGCTTTTTTTAAATAAGAAAATGGTATAATATAAAATTATATTTAACTTTTACGATTTTACATCTAGTAGAACATAATAAGTAGACTTAGTAAACAATTCCTAGATTTCGGGGGGGGGGGGCTGAAGCCCCCTCAGCCACCCCCATAAATACGCCCCTGGTAATATCATAGGCTGACTGATTGTTTTCGCTCAGAATCGTTTTTCTTGTACAATGATATTATATCACTAATATATAACTTTTATACAAAAAAATTGAATCATAATCGTTATCTTTTTTGAATGATATTTATTATGTCAAAAATAAAGGATGTTTTGAAAAATATTTAAGTTCTAAGCCCTGCTGGGTGTTATCAATGGATAACTTCCCAATCATATTATT